CACTCAAGCCCCGGATCGAGGCAGAGCTGGACAAGCTAGTCGAGCAGGGGGTGCTTGAGCCGGTTCCTTTTGGCAAGTGGGAAACTCCCATAGTAACGGCAGTAAAGTCCGATGGGTCAGTAAGGATTTGCGCTGACTACAAGTGCACTATCAACCATGCCTTACCCCCGTACCCCGTTCCCGTCATCAGCCACATTCTGGCTTCCCTGGAAGGAGGGAAGGTTTTTGCCAAGCTGGACTTAGCGCAAGCTTACCAGCAGCTGCCAGTGACTAGGGAGGCAGCAGAAGCCCAAACCTTCATGACCCACAGAGGAGCTTTTAGGGTCAATAGGCTCCAGTTCGGGGTGAATGTTGCCCCAGGTATCTTCCAGGGAATAATGGAGGGGTTACTAAGAGGGGTGCCAGGCACAGTACCGTACTTCGACAATGTGCTGATTGCCGGGGGGTCAGAGCAAGAGCTCACGGATCGAGTAAGGGTGGTATTGGAGCGTTTCAGGTCTGCAGGCCTTAAGGTGAAACGTTCTAAATGCCTCGTGGGAGTCCCAAGCGTGGAATTCTTGGGGTTCCGGGTAGATGAATCTGGTGTCCACCCCACAGAGGACAAGGTGGCGGCGATTAAGAACGCCCCACGGCCCCTCAACAAGAAAGAGCTGCAGTCCTTCTTAGGACTATTGAATTTCTACCACGCTTTCCTCCCACACAAAGTGTCGGTAGCGGCTCCATTACATGCACTCCTCCACAAGGATGCAAAATGGAGGTGAGGCTCGGAGCATGAGTGGGCGTTCAAAGGAGTAAAAAGCCTGCTATCCTCAAACACAGTCCTCACGCACCACGACGATCAGAAGCTGTTGGTACTGGCAGCAGACGCGTCGCCATTTGGGGTGGAGGCAGTTCTCAGTCATTTGATGCCAGACGGAAGCGAAGCCCCCGTCGTGTTTTATTCGAGATCGCTATCCGCAGCAAAAAAGAACTACGCCCAAATTGACAAAGAGGGGTTGGCGTTAGTATCTGCTGTAAAAAAGTTTCATGACTTTTTATTTGGGCGAAAGTTTCTTTTGGTCACAGACCACAAACCCTTGTTAGGGATATTTGCCCCGGACCGGAAAACCCCTAATATACTGTCTCCTCGGATGTTGCGGTGGGCGATTTTCCTCACTGCATATTATTATGACATTGAGCACAGGCCGGGCAAGGCAATCGGAATTGCGGACGCCCTCAGTCGCTGACCTCTATCCGGCCAGGACATGGACCCTGTTCCGGCTAGCATGGTGCTGGCCATTGATGAACTACACGAGGCCCCGATCTCATCAACGGACATTGCTGCTGCGACAGCTAAAGACAATGTACTCGCCCGAGTTTTGAACTGGGTGTGGAGGGGGTGGCCGGCAGGTACCGTGGAGCCGGAATTCAAACCTTATTGGGCACGCCAAAATGAACTTTCAGTGTCAAAAGGGTCTGTGTTATGGGGTAACCTGGTGGTGGTGCCTCACAAGCTCCAAGAGAAAGTGATGAAATCACTGCATGAGGGCCATCCAGGCATGGTCCACATGAAGGCGTTAGCCCGAGGGTATTTGTGGTGGCCCGGCTTAGATGTATGCCCTGCCAGCAGGCCAGGCCCGAACCGCCTACCGCCACTCCGCAGAAGTGGGAATCAGCGGGAAAGCCTTGGTCCAGGCTCCACCTGGATTTTGCGGGGCCTGTGCAGGGACAAATGTTCCTGATTGTAGTTGACGCGTACTCTAAGTGGCTGGAGGGGCCGTACATGTCCTCCACCACTTCGACTGCCATCATCAACGTGCTGTGTCGCTTGTTCACCACCCATGGACTGCCGGACGTGTTGGTGAGTGACAACGGCACACAATTTGTCTCTCAGGAGTTCTATCAGTTCCTGTCTGATAACGGCATCAGGCAACTGACATCAGCTCTGTTCCACCCGGCCTCTAACGGCCAGGAGGAAAGAATGGTCCAAACGACCAAAGAAGCCCTTGCCAAGCTCACGCAGGGTGATCGGGGGGTAAAACTGGCCTCGTTCTTGCTGCGCCAGCACGTTACCCTGTGCTCAGCCAAAGGCTGCAGCCCGGCTGAGCTGCTGATGGGGCATTGCCTTACAACCTTATTTGATCGTCTCCACCCAGATCTGAACGATCTTAAGGCGCAGCAGCAGAGTGCGCTCCCAAAGGTCCGCACTTACGAACCCGGTGACAGCCGTAACTATGCAGGGGATTCAGCCGTAACTATGCAGGGGATCACTCGTGGCTACCAGCCACTGTAATTGAATGTCTTGGTTCCAGAATGTATGTGGTCGAGCTTGTAGATGGACGCAAGTGGCGACGCCACATAGACCAGCGTAGGCAGCGGTGGGCAAAGGAACGCCTAGACTCCCAGCCGGCTGAGTCCCCAGAACCAGAGGACCGTCCCAGACCTCCTCCGGAGGCGAGTACTGCCAAGGCCAATACTGTCCCAGTGGTAGGGCAGACCCCTAACTGCGGACCCGCAACAGAGGACGGATGTGTACCTGACTCTGAGGTTCCAGAGTCAAGCTGAGCTGTGTCCTGAGCCTACACAGCTACGTAGGTCTCAGCGGGTGCGCCGAGCACCAACCTACCTAAGCGATTATGACTGCACATGATTGTGTTTACTTAGGGGGGAGGAATTTGTAGTGTATTCAAAGCTGCCTTGAATGCATGACATGTTGTGAAACATCTAACTGAACTGTAATGTTAAGCTTCGTCCTGGGCTAGGATCCAAATCCATCCAATAGTATTGCTAGCCCAGGAAGTAACAAGCCAATCACCTCAAGCAAGCTCCCTGAGCGGGAACTAATGTGATTGGATCTTATCTCTGCAACCTCATAGGTTGATATGTGTACAGTGGGTGTGGCTACACTAGCCGGAAATGTTTAAAAGCAGGACAGCTGCAATGTAAAGGCTGTTCTGGCTGTCAGATGTTGATCCGTGTTGGAGTTGTGTTCGAATTGAAGAATAAAGTCGTGTTCTTGCTGAATCACTCTCCGACTACCTTGTTAAGTGAGCGACTTAACACTGACAGAGAACTGCTACCGTAGCTGAAGCCTTTCGCTTCTATGGGGGCACCTGCAGATAGGGCTGCCCCACAAGCTGCCTAGATGGGGAGAGCCTCCAGAACCAGACAAGAAGCTCCTTTGAGCCCTTCAAGAGGGAATGGACAGGGAACAAGTGAAACAAACAAGCCCTTTGGGTAGGGCAGGAGGATAAGCTGAGGGAGAAAAAACTGGGACAATGGGCAGGGAAGCCTGAGTCCGACAACAATTCAGCCCCTACCACTAAAGTTCCTCAGTAAGCAGCCAATGCCAGGCTTGCTGCCTCCCCCCCCCCCCCATTATCCATATCCCGTTTTCTGTCACACCAGCTGGCCGCAGGCAGTCGGGTCACAGGACACAAGGAAGGTACACACCCAGGAACCGGGTCGGAGGCCGTCACAGCAAGCAGAAAGGTACAGAAGTCAGGAGATAAGGCCTGGAACGGCAGCTTAGGGGATGAGAGGCTGACCTACTTCATATTTTAATTGGCAAACTACGCACGGTTTGGACCCAGTGGTCTGCAGGGAGCAATACCTGCAGATCCATGCGACAGTCACATCCGGTTAGATTACTGTAACTCGCTCAACGCTGGCCTGCCCTTGAGACTGACCCGGACGTTCCAACTGATCCAGAATGCGGTCGCACGTGTCCTGACAGGCACATCATGGACTGCATGTATTCAACATGTGCTGCGCCGGCTGCACTGGCTTCCAGTTCAAGGTTTTGTTTTTTAAGGCCTTGAGTCGTCTGGGACAAACGTATCTGTGGGACCGCCTCCTCCGTTACACCCCTGGAATAACTTACTGGCAGTCCCCGGCCCTAGAGAGAGCTGGCTGTCCTCAACAAGGGCTAGGGCCTTCTCGGCCCCAGCCCCGACCTGGTGGAACTCTCTGCCAAATAAAACCAGGGACCTGCAGGATCTTACGCAATTCCTCAGGGCCTGTAGGGCAGATGTATTCCACCAGGCGTTTGGTTGAGGACGGTGACAGTTTGTATCATGGCTGGCACAAAACCACCCTACCTGAATCTCCGACCCCTTGTGAACTTATTCCTTCCCCATCCCCATGAAACACTCACAGACCAGGAACGGGAGGGAACCGATGCGCCCTCTAAGCCGTGGAGTCTTGTGAGCAAAAATCCTGCTTGGTGAGCGACTGGCCTTAAAGTCATGAGAAAGCTGTCTGGCTACTGCATATATCAGTTTGCTCTGGAGACGTCCCTTCCTGAGCCAAGACAGAAACGTGTGAGCCGGAGGCTAAAAATCCGTGAGCCAGCTCACACTAACTCAGCTTAGAGGGACCACTGGAGGGAACGACAAAACACAAAATTCACCAGTTGTTTTTAACTGCGTACCGTATGTCGGATACGGTTTTAATAGTTTTAAGTTGGTCTGTCGCCTAGAGCGCCACATTTGTGGGACTAGGCGATTCATAAATGGGATGAAATAAATAAATACATTTCCCACATTCCCCTGCATCCTGCAGTCCCTTCCGACGACGGGAAAGGCGATGTGCTGGGTTACGGGTCCCGTGCGAGACGGCAAGGTGCCCTGAGAAGAGAGGGAGAGAAATCATCCTCTTCTCCCTTTCCATCACTGTAACTGTGCTGACACACAGCAAGCAGGCAGGCAGGGTGGTTTTGTACCCTTCCGCCTCCATACTGCAGCTCCTCCGCCAACCCGCGTGGTTATTACTCCACAGATAACCCAGACAGAGGACCCACTGCAGAGAAGACCCACAATCTCCTGACATACTGCTGGATCTAACCCCATGTTTAGTTACTTCTGCTAACGGGCTGAAAAGCCTACGCACCCAGAGAGAGAGAAACGGACACCGAGACTGCGCTTGCTCGTTAAAGTTTTTAATACATTAAAAAAAATAGAGAGACCAGTTCTGATTTTGATAATTTCTTCAAGGGTAGATTTCGGGGGGGGGGGGGGGGGGGGGAGAAGAAGCACAAAAAAAAATATTACAAAACCGAGAGTGCCGTGAGGGAGAACGCCCGGGGGGTGGGTGTGTGTTTTGCTGCTGTTGCCGCCAACCGCACAGACGGAAGACGCGAAACGAAACCACAGAGTCAGCGAGGGACGCGCGGCTATGGCTTCTGAAGAGCTTCCCTGAACAGGACATGCCGGAACCTCTCTGCAAATGGGAGGGGCAGCCAGCCAGCCGCCTCGCCGCCTTCCAGCCAGGTCTGTTTCACCTTCTGTGTCCCCCAAACGGAACGCCTCCGGTCCTCCAACTGAACTAATCCTCCAAACTCGGAAACAGAAAAACATGCCTGAGGCAACACTTCAAATTTTTTAGATGCATACCGGGGGGAAAGAAGGGCTAGGTCCTTGCCAGGAGGCATTCGAGTTGGAGAAGGAGATCCTTTTCTAAAAATCCTCCCCTTCCCATGTCTGGAGAAGGTCACGCTGCCGATTGAGACGTCTTCTGGGACTGTGCTAAATCCGACAGCACGGTGGGGTTAGGCAAGCAGGAGAAGATGAGGAGAGTGACAGAGAGGAGAGTCCAAGCCGGATGCATAAGGAGGTTTCTGCACGTTCCCGTCGGCCCAACGTCGAGTGCCGCTCTGCCGAACGCCTGAAGTTTAAAAGTGCAGGACAGTGGTGATCCGAGACCGCCGTCGGCGACGTGCTGTGGTTCACAATGCGACTCTCTGGCCGGAGGTGAGCAAACGATCAAAGCAAGACAGGAGCCTAGTCTCTGCAAGAAACTTTTCACTCTCCGTGAGAAATGTAGAAGCAGTATACAGGGCAGGGGGCGGAGACACAGGAGACAACAAGAGGAAAAAACAAAACAGACCTTTTTGTGCCAAGCTACTGAACGAGAGGGGGGGGGGGAATATAAAGCTATTGGCGGCAAGGAATGATCCGTTCAGATATCCGAGCCATTTCCAGTGTCAAAATAAAACTTCTGCCCACTTAACTGCCCCGGGGGGGCAAGTCCCGTCTCCAGATCGCCCCTTCCCCCACCCCTCCAGCTCGGTTCTTAGCGGGCCCCGCTCCCTGACGGCCAAGGGTTAAGCCGGCACTGCGGGCAGCAGCCCGAGTACACGAGAACGTCGCAGGCCTGAGACCGTTCGCCCGCGTGCCAGCCCGCCGGCCAGCCGGGACAGAGCCGATAGGCCTCCAGGTCGCAGATCAGTTCCACCACTTCGTCGACCGTGGTGAGGCGGGCCGGATGGCTGGCGTAGAGTTCGTGCTCGGGAGGCACGGGGAGGTTCCGCACCACCACGTGGAAGAAGAGGCCCGGGCGGATGTGGATGACCGCCGCCGACATGGTGGACTGTTTCGAGCGCTGCACCAGGCGCAGGTCTGGGCCGCCCAGCAAGGGTAGCACCTCCCAGTGGGCAGGGAGAGGGATCTCATTCAGTTCCGTCAGGAACTCTCGCAGGACGCTGTCCAGCTGGCTCAGGGGCTGCACGCCGCCCAGACTGTAGATCTCCATTATCTAAGGAACGAGGAAAGAAGCCAGATTAATGCATGGTGTGGAAGGACTGGGCGGGAAGCAGCTTTTCTCCCTCTCCCACAGTACTGGAACCCGGGGTCGTCCTCTGAAGGTGAAGGGTGGGAGGTTCAGAACAGACTTCTTCAGTGCGTAGTTAAATTCATAGAATCCTAGAATCATAGAGTTGGAAGGGACCTCCAGGGTCATCTAGTCCAACCCCCTACACAATGCAGGAAATTTACAAATACCTCTTCCCCCCACACCCCCAGTGACCGCTGTCCTTCGTGGCCCAGAAGATGACAAAAAAACCTCCAGGGTCTCCAGCCAGACCAGCCTGGAGAAAAACTGCTTCCAGATCCCAATATGGCGATCAGCATTTCCCTGGGCGTGTAAGAAAGGGCCACGAGAACTAAGCACTGATGCAGTCCTTCCTGCCCTCCCTTCTCACGATCTGCCCAAGTTCACAGAATCAGCATTGCTGTCAGATGGCCATCTAGCCTCTGTTTGACATCCTCCAAAGTATCTCCCGAGGAAGCCCGTTCCACTGGGGAACCACTCTGTCGGGAAGTTCTCCGTAATGTTTAGCCAAAAACTTTTCTGATTTAATTTCAACTTGATGGTTCGGCTCCAACCTTGTGGGGCAACAGAAAACAACCCTGTAACATCCTCTATTTTGTGGAACTCGGTAGCACAGGATGTGGAGACGGCCACCAAACTGGAAGGCTTTAAAAGGGGAAGAGACAAATTCACGGAGGGCGGGGCTACCAATGGCTGCTAGTCATGATGGACATCTGCTACCTCCAGTACCAGAGGTGGTATATGCCTCTTTGTACCAGTTGCTGGTAAGCATGGTCGGGAGGATGACATTATAGTAATCTTAGTGGCAGCATGAACAAAATGCTGGACTTGATGGTACTTTGGTCTGATCCAGCATGGCTCTTCTGAAATTCTAAACGCCTTCTCCGTTCCCCTCTGCAAGCCACTAAGCTCCCATGCAACTGGGAGTGGCATTCACTGCGGCTGTAGCAAAAATCTGCTGAGCTTCGCTTTCTAGCTCAAAAACTGGAATTTCAAGGAGAACGGCGGCGCTGCACAACTTCCCATGAATGTGGTACATCCCCCCCAAATCGCCAAGCTGCCACTGTTCCAAAAATCACACATTTCGGCACTTATAAAACACTACAATCCCCGCCCCGGGCCCTTCATTCCAGGCCCTTCGTAACCAAATGTGTGCTTACTGATGGGATCAAGATACAGGGAGAGTTTTTGAGGAGACCATGCATTTGTGAGTTAAAGAAAATGCAAAAAGGGGGGGGGGGGGGGGGAGCCTAAAATTAGAAAATACTTTTGCGGACAGTTGATACCACAAAAGATTCCTTTAAGAGCTCCTACGGAAGCAGCAGAAGAAAGGAGAGATTGGATGTATACCCTGCCCTTCACTACCCAAAGGAGTCTCAGAGCGGCTTACAATCCACTTCCCTTCCCCTCCCCACAACAGACACCCTGTGAGGCAGGTGGGGCTGAGAGAGCTCTTTCAAGAACTGCCCTTGAGAGAACAGCTCTGAGAGAGCTTGTGACTGACCCAAGGTCATGCCAGCAGCTGCATGTGGAGAAGTGGGGAATCAAACCCGGTTCTCCCAGATTAGAGTCCGCCGCTCTTAATCACTACACCAAACAGCCTTCTGGCTTTTATAAAAGGGCCTCACTGTGGCTGCACAATGGCACTTAACATCTCCACCATTGTCTACCTCTAACACCGGTCCTAGTACTCCTGTTGCCACCTCAAAATGTGGCAACGTACTGACACCGCCCACACACAAAGTCACCCATCCTCCATCTCCCCGAGACGACAGAGAACAACCCAGGGTTTCCGAAGATTCCCCCAGACTCGCGTGCCACTCACCACCGGGGGGCGTATCGGTTGCAGCGGTTCCACTTCGTCATCCTCGTCGTCATCCAGCACGACCACCTCCCCGCCTTGTGTCTCCCTGGTGCTCTTAGACTGAGGCAGCCCCGCCAACACCTGCAGCAACAAACAACCGTCAGGAGGTCCAGAATGATAGATGTTACGCAGGCCTCCGGGGGGGGGGGGGGGAACCACGCCCCACCATTTTCCTTCCACACACACACACACAGACACACATCATCACTCTGTTTCAGGAAGCAACCCAGCAACTACAGGAGGACATACACCGTTTTTTTTTAGTATATGTCCTTCTGTAGTTGCTGGGAATCAGTTACAGGCTTCTAGATTCCATCCTCTGGCCTAGGTCTTTGCACCAAGTGCCCCAGGAACCAAGCACTGGGGTGGGAGTTGGAGAAATAGGTACACTGGACCAGGCCCAGGGGGGCTCGACCCAGGTTACAACATGGCCTACTCTGTTTACTAAGAAAACATTGTTGGCCTGTTCTGTTTACTAAGGAAACATCATTGCATTGACCTGTAACTGAGTGGTCTTCTGTGCAGGCACACATGGGACTGCGCATGTGCAGGCCTCCCACGGAGAGAATCTTAAAGGCTTCTAGAGTCTTCTAGTATAAAGAGCCCCTCCCCCATCCGGGTTGGAGGTTTCCCGCCCAAACAGTCACGTGATCAGGAGAACCGTCTTCCCGCAGTCTTTGTGTCGCCTGGGTGAGGATTTGGCCCTGAATGCAGAGCAGCCTGTGACAAGGAAAGGGGGGGGGGGGAAGGATGTGTGCCTGCACAGAGGACCACTCAACGAACATCGGTTCCAGGGAAGTGCAACTACGTTTTCGTCTTTGTGGCTTCTGTGCAGTCCCGTATGGGAGGGCAGCAAGCTCACTTTCCGTGGAGGAGGGTGTGGATCATCAGTCACATGACAGTTCGGGCAGGAAACCACCAACCCGGATGGGTGGTGGTGGTGCTCTTTTCTACTAGAAGGCTCTAGGAGCTTGTGAGATTCTCTCTGCGGCAGGCCTGTGGGGGCACAGTCCCATGTGGGACTGCAAAGAATCATAGCGTTGGAAGGGACCTCCAGGGTCATCTAGTCCAACCCCCTGAACAATGCAGGAAATTCACAAACACCTCCCCCACACACACAGTGACCCCTGTTCCACGCCCAGAAGATGCTGGGGATTGAACCTGGAGCCTCCTGCATTCCAAGCAGAGGCTCTGCCACTGAGCCACAGCCCCTCCCCTCCCTCTCCAAGCAGCTGGGCACCAGAACCCCCTAAAACAGGATGTCACAAAGAAGACAGCTGAAGGCCGGAAGGCAAGAGACAGGAACATGGTTTGTTGCTGTTGTTCAGTCGCACAGTCGAGTCCGACTCTTCGCGACCCCATGGACCAGATCCTGCCAGGCCTTCCTGTCTTCCGCCGTCCTCTGAGGTTTGCTCAGTTTCATGTTCGTTGCATCTATGACACTGTCTAACCATCTCATCCTTTGCCGTCCCCCTCTTCTTTGACCTTCAATCTTTCCCCTGGAGAAGGAAATGGCAACCCACCCCAGTATTTTTGCCAAGAAAACCCCATGGACAGTATCAAAAGGAACATGGTGTAGTTGTGTAATAACATACCAAAGGGGCACGCTGAATTGGTTTCTCCCCCTTCCCTCCCTGCCGTGGTCCCAACTGAAGCTTACCGGAGAATCGGTCAACGGGCGACGGTCCCCACCCGGTTCTGCGCGCGCTTTCTTGATCTTGGGAGATGTCGCAAGGAGGAGGTTGACAGCAGGTAATCTGGTATCTGATTCCTGTGAAAACGAATCAGACGGAGCCCGTCAGGAACACAACACAGACTCTGTAGGTACGTGGTGTCTTTTCTGCAACCAAGAGGAAGCGGCTCATCACGGACAGCGCTTTAAAAGTACTGAACAGTGATGCCCTAGGCGACATCTGGATAGAAGCCATGTGCACAGAGCAATTTAACAGCAAGAGAGCGTCGCCTGGAGGGAGAGTTTCATGTGCTGCAGCTCCTGGATTCTCAGACAACCTGTCGAGAAACTGCCTTGGCAACAAAAAAGCAGGAGGAGGTATGTTTCATGCAGCGTCTGAGACTCTGAGATGTTGCTCTGCGTGCCGCAGCCTTCTGAAGCCAAGCCAAGCCAAGCCAAGCCAGCAGCTCTAAAACTGACGGGGCCTTCTCGGTGGTGGCACCAATTCACAGCAACACTCTTCCCCCGGGAAGTTTACCGTTAGAAGGCCACTCGAAAACACCTTTGGGCGAGCTGAAGTTTCAAGCTGGTTTGTATAACTGCTGGTTTGCATTGCTGAATTTGGGCTCCTCCTCTTCCTCCATTCGTGCAAGTGAAATTAGTGTTCGCTTAAGAATAGAGGGACTTCTGCCAATTTCCCCCTCCCACTGCAGGCCCCCATGCTGTGCCCCCCACATTGTGCCAAGGGGCCTATGGACCCCCAAGGAGGCCACGCTTCAGAAAGAACAAGCCGCAACAAGAGCAAAAAGTTGACACTTCCAGTCCTTACTGAATCTGTGGCTAAACTTTGGGCGGAAGATCATGTTAGAACATCTAGAGCACTTTTGTTAATAATGTTACTGTACTGTAGTGATTTTAAATGGTTTTAAATATGTTTTATATTGGCTTATGCCTCTTTGTAAGCCGCCCTGAGCTCACATAGCGGGGAGGGCGGGGTATAAATTGAATTAAATAAATAAATAAATAAATGTATGGCTAAATGTATAAAACCCTTTTTGCCCTTTTATATTTCTTACTGGATTTGTCAAACATTTTTATGGTCTTAAGATATATTTATTGCATTTTACCCAGATATTTTATCATCCAAACATGTCTTGGTTAATGTTTGGCGCGATGCCGTAATAAACATACTACTACATACTACTACTCGCTGCTTAGCTGTTTTAGCTGTTTAGTTTATCTGTTAAAAACAAAATCGCAAACCCCAAATCCCCCCCCCCCCAACCCCATCGAAAGCCCTGGCAAACAGGTGGTCCTTGCAGAGCCCTCTGAATGATCACCAAGGAGGGGGCTCCCGCTCACCTCTTCAAGGAGCCCATTCCGTAGAGCCACTACGGAAAAGTCCTGGCTTCTGTTCAATGGCGGACAGACCACCCAGACTGGTAGGATAACCAACAGGTGGCTTCCTAGTGACCATACCAGTTGGCACATTGCTATATGTAAAAGAAGACGGGTCTGTGTTTTTATTCCATTTCACACGCCTCTTTCATTTTGTGAGCGGCCTAGTGAAGTATGGAGGGCGGAACATAAAAACAACACCCCCTTCTGAAAAAAGGTAGGAGACATCTGAATGCGGTCCCGATGCTAGAAACTTCAACCCAGAATGACTCGAGTGGCCAAGCAAAGAGGAGAAGGAAGAAGAAGGAAGAAGAAGGAAGAAGGAGGAGGGAGGAGGAGGAGGAGATTGGATTTATACCCCGCCCTTCACTACCCAAAGGAGTCTCAGAGCGGCTTACAAACTCCTTTCCCTTCCCCTCCCCACAACAGACACCCTGTGAGGGAGGTGGGGCTGAGAGGACTCTTTTAAGGACTGCCCTTTCAAAGACAGCTCTTGTCAGAACTACGGCTTGCCCAAGGTCATCCAGCCAGGTGCAAGTGGAGGAGTGGGGAATCAAACCCGGTTCTCCCAGATTAGAGTTTGCACACTTAACCACTACACCAAACTGGCTCTCAGGTTTGATTCCCCATTCTCCCAAGAATAGTTCTCAAAAGAGCAAATCCAATCTCTTCTTCTTCCTCTTCCTTTCCCCTCCCCACAACAGACACCCTGTGAGGAAGGTGGGGCTGAGAGAGCTCTTTCGAGAACTGCCCTTGAGAGAACAGCTCTGAGAGAACTTGTGACTGACCCAAGGTCATGGCAGCAGCTGCATGTGGAAGAGTGGGGAATCAAACCCGGTTCTCCCAGATTAGACTCCATGCTCCTAGCCACTACACCACACCGGCTCTCAAAAGGAGACTGTAAGATGCTCTGAGACTCCGTTGGGTAGGGTACAAAGCCCATCTCTTCTTCAGAGACATCTGCAAATGTAGCAAGATGTGAGAATTCTCACCTTCACCAGGACCTGGGTCGGTGGGGTGGGGTGGCAGGGGACTTCCGGCTCTTCCTTGACTTGCTGCAGTACGATGGGGAGGTCCTTCACGCAGTCTTGAGACAATTCCTTCTTGACTTCCTCCTTTAGCTTCAGCGGCTGTTGGTCAGGCATCTGTCGGTTCTGCGGCTTGGACAGGTCGATCGGTTTGCTGACGGAGGGCAGCTCCTCGGCCTGCGGTAAAATTGGGAGGGAGGGAATGGAGCATGATTAGACCTCTCCGTGTCCCCGAGCATGCTCCCCAGACATGGAACGTGGCAACCCGTGCAGAATCTGGCATTCAGGGGGAACGTAAACCCCTACGACTGCCAAAAAGCTCGAAACTTCAGATGTGCCTGGCAAAATCCCAGAGGACAGAGAGGGATATAACCAAAGCTTCCAGGAAAGGGCGGGGTTTCCTGAGCTATCTGAACTGCCATGGAGAAACAGCAATGTTAACGTGAACCGAAATGGACTTGAGTAAATTGTGCAAATAAAATTAGGGGTTTCCCCCCCTTCCCCCTAGCATAGAATTTGGACCCTTGGTCTGAGCCCAGTAACTTCTCATGGGCTGCATAAAAAAATTAACTAGCAAGACTGCACTGACGTTTTCACGGATGAAGCATACACTGCTCCTATTTCAGAGGAACCTTACTAAAAGTCGTTGCCATAGAAGCTTGAATACAGTGAAGCTCTTCAGTTTCAGTCGAGAAAAAGGAGTGTTTATAGCTTTCCATTTGCAGCCTTGCCCCTAGTCTCTAGACTTTTCCCTGCGCATTTCCTTCCAAGTGTTGCTGCAACCATAAGGACTAGAAACTTGTAATCTGACGGTACAGTTTAAAGACAACCAGGATTCTGAGGGCATCTTAAAGAGTTTTTCTGTAGGTTGCCCAGGGTTAGTACATGCATACACAGGGTTATGGGGTAAGCGAGAGAAGGGGCCCCCTACAGCAATGATTCAATGTATCTGGTTCTCATAAACCACATAGCACTCTTTTTGATTTATAGTCCACCTTTCTCAATTGGACTCAAGGCAGATTATTCATTAATTGTTGGTGCCGGTTCCCAAAGAACCCTACAACAAGCTGAGAGCGCTCGGTGCCTGTCTGACACAGGTAATAATGGCGAAAGCTGTGAGAACGCTGCACTTTTTCTGGGTTCCCATTTCATACAGTTCTGGATGAAGCAATAATCTGGGAACATCAAAATCTCCCAGAAGACATAACCGCCGGGGGGTGGGGGTTGTCCTCATTTCCACTGACCAAACAGCACCAGGGATACGCACCAATTTGCATGTTGTGGGTCCTCTGGTGCATAACCTTGCTTCCCCTTATTGAACACCACCTCACAAGAATCACACGGAGACCATCAACTCACGCTTTACAGAGGGTGCCAATGAACTGGGACAAAATGAGAGGACAGCCTAAGCCAGGTACCAACCTGTGGTGACGGACAAGTGCTACATTTCAAGGCCAACTCTCCATCGATTGGTCAGAACCTGTTACTAGGTGCTCCCAACTGTGTCTATTTGCAGACTCTGGTACCCAACTTTGTGCTTTGTCCGGCTCTAGCAATGTGGTTTGATCTCTCCCACATATCCCCCACCAGTGATTTTAACAGATTAAGTAAGAATTGGTCCTAAGACTAGGGGTGTGCACTCGATATATAATGAGCCGAATAAATACCTGAAAAATACCTTATTGGTATTTTTCAAGTATTTATTCAGCTGAATACAGATTCTTATTCGGCTACCGAAATAGCCGATACTATTCAGCTTTTATTCAGGCATGACTAGAAGGCATTTAAAGAGACACGGTCTCTTTAAATACCTTCTGTGTTCACCCGCTGAGCTGTGCCACTATGATGGCATGACTCAGCGAGTGAACTCAGAAGGCATTTAAAGTTTAGACTTCTGGACTCACCAAGTTATGCCGGCATGGTCCCCATAGCATATAATGCAGCCAAATAAAATTCAGGTTTCCTGAATATTTACCCGAACACCAATACAATACCATATTGCTATTCAGGAATACTAATATTTTTCGGGTCCTTTTTTTTTTTTTTTTGCACACCCCTACCTAAGACAGTTGCGATCCATCCATTACATGTTTAGGTGCACCTCATCACACCTTCTAGCACCCTAAAGGATTCTTAAATTTTCAGGAAGCTGCTCTCTTCTGGGTGCTGCTGAGACAGGAGGCAAGAAGGTTATAAGACAGCAGGGCCTTCTTGGTGGTGGTCCCCTGCTTAGGAATCCCCTGCTTGCTTCAAAAATATGGTTAATACTAGCTTTAAAAAAACAAAACACTACAATTTCATCCTACAATTATGTTCCCTCATCCCTAAGCAGAGCGTGTTTGTTACATATCTTTGGGGCAGACCAGCAGCTGATGATGATATATGTTAAATCTTCAGACTCAACATATGTCTAGCCATTCTAAAACAGTATTCCTCTTAAGACAAATATGGGCAAAAAACATCAGAAACAGCCATGAGCTCCCAACAGCAAGTCATAGGCCTGTGGTCATACAAATGTGGCCGAGACTCACCTGAATAGTGCCAGGTTACACCACAGGCTCAGGAGAGGTTTGGAGGAAGACTCCCCCACCCTTTGACTAATGGGTTGCAAAGGCTACCGCACTGGGCAGCCCCACGTCCTCCAGAAGCTTTGGTGGGCCTTACACAGGGGTAATGTAGAGCCCACCCAGAGCCATTTAAACTACGCAGCCCGGTGGGTTCGGCAACACAGTTTTCTTCAGCTCCCGCTGTTCCTACCTTTCCTTTGCCACAACCAGCCAGCAAAGCACACAGGAGTCCACAGCAGAGACACACAGCAGGGAGGAAGAAGACACTAGTAGACGGAGGCGGTCCTGGACAGGAAGGAGGCGGCTGATTGGGCCAGAAGGAAACGTAAGGAGATTTGAGGAGGAAACCCAGGAGCAAGGGGTGGGATGCGTGCGAAATAACGTAGAAAGTGGTAGATTTCATCTGTGACACCACCCATGACAAAAGGACAGGGCAGATTGAACAAGGAAGGCAAGATGCACCTGCAGTCTGACAACAGTGATGCGCCCCTGACATCCAGGGAGATACATGACACCAGTGGGGCTGGCTAAAAAAACCACCGGATGATGTGGGAGCAGAGCACAGTAGCTGCACCTGGGAATGTGTGGGGAGGGGGGCAGTTACCTCTGGCTGGAAGCTGGCTTTTGCCCGGCGCTTCTGGCCACGCCCCTTGGCTCCCCGCCGCCCCACCTGCTTGATCCTGGCCGGTTTGCGGCTGCGGCCGCCGAAGGCGTTCCTCCTCCTCCTGACCTTCCAGCCCGCCGCCGCCGCCCCCTCCGCCTCTGGGCTGCTCCACTCCTCGGGAAGCAGCCGCTTCTAGGGAAGGGAAGAGAAGAGGGAGATACGAAGAGGAGCCGGCTGTGGAGGAGGCAAGCGGCCGAGCGCAGAGGGAGGTGGTCCCAAGCCCCACCCCAAAGCAAGCAGCATCACAGCTTGGCCCACTCCTTCCTGCAACCATGGCACCCATGCGATCCCCCCACTTCCTGTGCCCCCACAAAAGCTTAGCCCCCTGGCAACTCCCAGCTTCCCAAGCACATCCAAGGCACCCCAGTGCAGCCCAAGGCATGAAGCAGCAGATCCTTCCTTCAGCCTCACATAAGAAGGTGCAAGGTTTTGACACAAGCAGAGAGAAGACCCCCCCCCCCCAAGGAACAGGGCGATTCAGTGGATAGGAATGAGACCGCAGATCGAGACCAAGTCATGAGGACAACTTGAGTAAGCAAGGGAGGTGTGGACATAGGCCTTAAAAAACCTTTAAATAAGCCCTAAGTACAGCACTAGGGATGGGCACCAATCAAGAAAACAGGTCCGTCCTGGTTCGTGGGGTCTCACAAACTTTCACGAACCTTCCCATTTACCAAACCAGTTCATTTTGTGAGGTTCATGATGCAGTAGAGTGGCCCCCTGCTGGCTAGAAATGCCAAACTTGCAGCAAGTCTCCAGTTGACTCTCCTATTCTACCAAAGGGAGATTACCCCCCTTTTCCTTCTGACCCTGTGATTCTGGACTTCCGGGCCTCCTGGGGTCCCCCTTTTTGGCCTGGCCTCATCTGCTGGCCTCCCTCTGGCTGACCCACAGGCCAGTTTCCCAGAACTCCTGCCCCTTCTATCAAAAGAAGATTGCACCCACATTTTTCTTCTGACACTCTGATCCTCGACTTCCAGGCCTCCTGGGGTCCCCCTTTGTGGCCTGACCTCCTCTGCCAGTCTCCTTCAGACTGCCCCACAGGCCAGTTTCCTGAACTTCCCACTGCTTCTGCAAAAAGGAGATTGCCTTCCCCTTTCTCCCCCAAGCCTCGGTTTTCCACCTCCTTTCTCTCCTGTGTCGCCACTGTGCACCCCTCCTCCGCCTCTTCCTCTTCTCCTTCCACCCCCCCCCCCAACCCAGGCTCTTTCGTGCTTTCCTCCATGCCCCCAGGTCCCCCAAAGAGCCACTTTTGTTTGGTGTTTGGAGGGCCACTATTGGTGTTTCCAAAGCCGCAGAAGGGCTGCAGAATCCCTCCCATTGCTTTGATTATTAATTGATCAGCACCAGCATGTCTGCCACACTAACTGCCAACACGAACCACATGCACCTCTGTAAAAACCATGGAGGTTCATGGGAGGTTTGTTGCAGGCGCAACTACACGACCCTCGGTTCATGAAAACGGGCAATTTTCATGATGAATTTAGGTTCGTGCCCATCCCTATACAGCACTCTGACCTAGATGGCCCAGGCCAGCATGATCATGTCAGATCTCAGAAATTACGTGGGCTAGTAATTGGGTGGGAGACCACCAACTAATACAGATTGCTCGGCAGAGGGAGGCAATGCCAAACTACCTGTTTGTCTGTGCCATGACCTAGATGGCTTCAGCCAGCCTAATCTCATCAGATCTCAGAAGCTAAGCAGGAGGTCGGGCAGACAATGGCAAACCATCTCTGAACATCTCTGGCCTTGAAAACCTCACAAGGGGTCGCCATTAAGTTAGCTGCAACTCGGCAACACGTCCCAGCATCAAAGCCTGGAGTCTAAGATCTCTTCCTGCTCACATCGCTCTTTGTGCACTGTGGAGCATGCTCCTCTAGCACCGGGCAAGTTCCGGCTCATTGAAAGACTGGCCGCGTATCAGCAGAAGTGCCCCATGCCGC